TGTGTGTGTGTGTGTGTTTTCTTCATTTAAAGCACACAGATAGTTTCAAGTTTAGCTTAAATAATCGAGGATATCAATGTTCATGCTCTCCTGGGGTGCCGATGCGACGGATCACGTGCCTGACTACCCTCTCATCCACTTTGCGCCGCCACTGCGACGACTGCTTAGTCCGCAGAGCTCTTCGGACGAGTTCAGTACCAGCAACGGCGCCAGCAGTAGGATGAGCAGCAGTATCAGTAGCACAGCGTCGTTATCAATGTCGTCGATTGTTGGCGGCCGTCACCGACGCTCCAATGCTGCCTTCTGTACCGTTACACCGCGCGTGCACGTGAAATGTCGTAGAACGAAGCCGATCACGCGGCGCTGTCTACCACAATGCGCTCATGGCGCCACAAGCAGTTTCAGCTATCTCTGCTTTGGTGGGTCCATACGCTGTGGTTATTTTTGTTTGTATCTAAGTGCATTTCTGTTTTCGTATAAATTTGTTTGCATATGTGTGTGTTTGTGTATGCACACGTACGTGCGTACATGTGTGTGTTTATTTCTGCTATATAAATTGAGTTGAATCATTGAGATATCCTGCATTCTTGGAGGCGATCTCATCGGAATTTATCTCCGTATGACAGAGTGGTGTCTTAGCGACTTTAAAACGCCACCCTGTCATACGTCCCTCAAATTAACATCTTATTTTCTGTTATGATTTCGCACCATATACTGCTATTTGCTTCGGCTAATAAAACCAAACTGAATTTCCAATTTAGTCTTATAGCTACTAACTCAAATTACCGTATTGTTCGATGATTTTGGACTAGTCTGAATGCAAGATTTTCGTTGCTCTTTTAATACACTACCTTCTGATGACCACTGAAATTTTTCCGTGAGATAACACCGACAAAATACTTCGACGACTGAAGTATTAATAGCATCGTTATTTTTTTTATCAGCAAAAAATTTGATAGCAGAACAGCTCTTACTAGTTTGCTGGAAGCTGAAGCCGAAACGACAAAGGAAGTCATTTTCGAAGTAGATTCTTTAGAATAATCTGGCCAGGAGTTCGTAGTGCAGCTTAGCTCTGAGCGTTTTGGTGCACACCAAATCGCAGCACTTAAGCAAGCTGAAGCATAATAGTTTTTGTTACGCTGTGTGCTGAAGTATTTTCTTTATTCTTAGCTGGCGATCCAACACAGGGCACGGATGCAAAGAGCGCAGACGTCTCAGCTAGTTGGGCTGCTGCAATCAAGCAAGCTCTGATGCCAGTCACACCGCAAACCAGTACATCTAGCGCGCCGAACCCGACTGCTGAAACCGATAGCCAACAACAGCAGCAAAAGCTCAGCGTACCACCCCAAGGTTACTCAGTTTTTATGCATTTTTGGGTGAATCTATAACATTTTACCGGATCGTAGTGTTTCCTTTTTTTAACGCATGTGCATGTGCTTCTGTTCGGATTTTTAGTTTAGGAACTGGACAGTTTAGGGTGCAGAAATTTTGGGAATGAAGACTCCCGCCACTTACGAAGCCATAAACCTGGTGTCAACATTACATCTTTCTTTGCATCCTGACATATGACTTCTGGTTCAAATTTGTGCTAATTTTCTAATTCAGTGTTGCGGATGAACCTCCCCGTGCAAAGATATATCATTCGCACTGCTTTTCGACTACTTTTTTCCCTCGGAGAAAGCGGATACAAAGAGGGCTTTGCCTATAACATTCGATAATAACTAAATAAAGATAGCAAGCAGTGAAAAGTATTAAATATCAGAGATAGAGACCAGTATTTTCTGTGGATTCATTTGTTAAAAAACACATTCCTTCATATGCTGAAATGTTTTATGGCCAATTTTTGTCACGTTTTTCCCGTGCTGTTCTGCATTTCTTTTCCCACAGTATGTGCACTTCTCAGTTTAGGTGAAACCGGACAGCTGGGTGTACAGCTGCGAAGCGAGCAGGATTTTTCTCAGCTGTATCAAATTTTCGCCGACGAAGTTCTTGGCTCCGGGCAATTCGGAACCGTTTATGGCGGTGATTTACTTGAATTCGTTCACTTTTTTATTTTAGTAACTTCCTCTATTTTTCATAAATAAATATTTATACAGCTGTATGTTTTGATGGACTTTCGGAACACGCCACAAAAATCCACATAGGCGTGATGATTCATTTGACAGGAACTAAAAATTTAAGAGCAGCACGGCGACATTTGCCGAATTTCGATTGTATCCAAAAAATTTTTGACGGATAAAAATCCCGAGAGATCAGAATTTTCACATTTTCTAATTTAAATGCGGTTTTAACATTATCAAGGCTGTCGCCAACTTCCTGATAGTCGATGTGTTCTGATGTCACTATTTTTAACCAGGAAGCTCCCATACTCCGGTGCATCTTCTGTCTTTTGTCGCTCGCTTTCAACCAGTATCCGCCACATATACAGTATACGTTTGCTGACCATCCGAGCTTTTCCGCGAATACCACTTATTGGTGGATGACATTGACCACTTTTCAGTAAAACGACCAACACGTCTTGTCTATCTGGTTTTACTTTCCTCCGACGTCCTACAGTTATGATGTTTTCGGAGCCAAAGCCAGCTGAAAGAAAACGTTTGAAAGAGGAGAAAACTGGATTCTTTAATATGCTGTTGCATAAAGTGCATTGGAATACGTGGGAGTTTGGACTGTTTTGATTCGCTGCTTTTTATTTGCTTCCTCTCACTATTACTGGACAGTTAACGAAATAAAAGGGCAGCTGCATGGGATTGAATTATTCGAACCTGAGTTCTTTTCTCGTATTTTAGGAGTTCATCGAAAAACGGGAAAACATGTAGCGGTGAAACTGATTGATAAAATGAAATTTCCGAGTAACAAAGAAGCAGCGCTGAGAACCGAAGTCGATATTTTAAGGGTAAAATTCTCAAACGGTTTTCTTTGTTTCTCGTGTTAAAATGATCAGAGTTTTCAAATTGCAGTTGCTTTCTTTTCAGAAAGTTCGACACCCAGGAGTGGTCGCATTCCAGGAAATGCTCGAAACCTCGGACCGAATATTTGTAGTGATGGAGAAGCTCAAAGGCGATATGCTAGAGATGATTTTGAGCAGCGAGAAAGGAAGGTTGTCTGAACGGATTACACAATTTCTTGTTTATCAGGTCTGTAGTATACTTGCAGTTTCTCTTCGAATTCATTGATCTTCATGCAAAATCTAGTAACGAACAACTGTGCAAGAGAATTTGGAATTCCGCATCTATAGCTTCCTTGCCTGTGTTCTAATAGATTCGGTGAATTTATGAATGGTGAAACTTTCTTCCTTGGTTTATGTTGTGCTCTAGCAACTCTCAGAATCTCACTGGGATGGACAACTTTTTCTAGCAGCTAGAATATTATGTGAATATCATCTCTGCTTCAGAAAAAAATGCCAGTTTTGATTAATTTCTTCGGGCCAGAGCTATTCCGGCTTTGTTACAACGAAAACAGTCGCTAATGTTTCTTTCTGTTTTGAAAGGAATTGGGAGCGATGGACTGCGCAGCATTTCGGTTCGGCTGTTACATTTTGTCTGTTGCAGATACTTATTGCCCTCCGTTATCTGCACAGTTTGAACATCGTGCATTGTGATCTTAAACCTGAAAATATTTTGCTCGCTTCCGATTCTGATTTCCCGCAGGTAAATGTTGTTAAATGCGTTTTGATTCTATTCGGTAGTTTTTTATTACAAGGTATTTTTTCAGTTAAGTGTTATACTGGGTATTGAAAGTCTGTTTTTTCTGGGGTCAGTGACTTTCTTTCGGTATTGAAGCACTGCCTGCATTTTCCGCATTTTAGGTGAAACTTTGTGATTTTGGTTTTGCGCGGATCATTGGTGAACGCGGATTTAGACGGTCAGTTGTTGGCACACCTGCCTATCTTGGTAAAATTTTCATTATGAATTCTTCTGTCGGGGACAAAGAAAATATTTCATTTTCAAATTAAAACTGGAAAAAAGGCCGTGTATTAGAAAACAAATTACTTTTTGTCCGAAGTAATTTGCTTTGGATGAAATAAGCAATTCAAGAATGTCACATCTTAATTTTTCATTTTTAAATTTCAATTAAAATGTGCCTTTCCTTGTGGAATTTCACCTTCAAATTTGTTTTTCATTTTTCTTTCTAAAAAAAATCGAAAAATTTAGATAATTTCCATTTGGGGAACTATGAGGAGAGGTTAATGTAGGCAATATACATAGCGGATAATAAGTAGAAACGTATGGCTCAAGACATGAGAGTCTGACATCGCAGTACCCGCTATACCACTTGTACTGGATGCTTAAACTAGTTGTTTGGGCGAACTGGTGATTTTTTCATTTGAGACCACTAGTGCAGATAATTTCATTATTGTTGAACCTGTTTTTGATTTTAGAAGTTCGAAAATAGAATGTTGAATTCTACATTTTTTATAAACTGTTAAAATTTCATTTGCTGAAGAATTTTAAGCTCCGGAAGTCCTGCGTAACAGAGGTTTCAATCGATCGCTTGACATGTGGTCTGTTGGCGTTATTGTGTACGTCAGGTAAGCGCCTTAAATCTCTATAAACATCGACTGCTTACGTTTTGTAAAAATAAAAACGATTTGGCGCACACCAAAAGAATGATGAGAATGAAGACGCGGTCGTGCTCTTACGACAAGCTAGTGCGGGCACACAGCGGCTGTTGCGCGAAAACTGGGATCAGGATTTGCTGGCTCAGACTTTGCCTTTTTTATTGAAAATTATTAAAAATTAGGAGTTCAAATGCAAGAAACAAGTTTCAGCCAGTATTTAAACTATCTAAAACTCAAGAAAAAGCCATGCAGCAGCTGTGCAGTGAAATATTAGCTATGATCCAGAAAAAAAGCAATTAAGTAGAAAGTGTCAAAGTGCTTACGCGATAAGCCATATCACGGATTTCTTCCGGATACATTCCACACTTCAAAAGCATTGCGATTTGCTGGCGCTCAGCAACTTTAGAACTTTTCATTATTTAGAAATACCTGCCTAGCAGGCTTGACCAGAGGATTATGAAAGAACGCGCAGTGCGTGTTTGTCGCTAAGCTGATGTTTAAATATCCGCAAACAGTTGTGTCCATCCGAGACGACGGCAATGATGTCCCGTAGCATAATGTAACAGCAAACATGGAACGGCTGTATATCAATTCTGGCAATCTTCCCCTTCTTGCAGCTTGTCAGGAACGTTTCCTTTTAATGAAGATGAAGACATCAATGACCAGATCGAAAACGCTGATTTTATGTATCCCGCAAATCCGTGGCAAGAAGTAACAGCAACAGCAATCGACTTCATCAGCGGTTTACTGCAAGTTAAAATGAGTAGGCGGCTGACGGTACTAAAAGCGTTGAGTCATAACTGGTTACAGGTTAGTCAATCTAGGAGTCGCAAAACCTTGTAAACTATGATAAATTTTGCATTTTTCTAAAAAACATCACCCTTCATCACCACTGTCTGAGTGACTGTGTGAAAGTGCAAAAACAGGATTTTGGAAAACTTACTTTTTTATAAGTTACTGTGCTGCGTCAGGACACAAAAACGCATATAGGCAAAATTGTGTATGTGTGTGTGCTTGTATGTCCATTTATCTGCTTGAGCACATGTTTCAACCGTGATACTAGAGAGCTTGGAAGCTAAACTTTATTGAGTGAGGTCCTAGGCCATAGAAGTGAATATTCTCGAACCCAACCCGCTGTCCGTATTTCATTCTTTGGGGGGACTTTGTGCACGTAGCTGCTAAAGACGAAAAAATGATTCCTATTTTGTTAGACAAATCCAAAATTATAAAATTTTTTTTTAGCATAAAATCTTTTTCTTGTCGTCGAATTTCATATCAGTTGCCCGAGCACTCTTTTGCTGTGCATTTGGTTAGGCAAATTTTTACCGACACAGCACAGAGACTGAAACTTTTTATGCGTTTTTTGCAGTAATGCAATGCAAAAAACGCATATTGACGAGAGGTTGTCTGTG